GAAGTGTTCCGCCTTAGGTTAGGGTTAGTGTTGTCCTGCCATCCTCAGAGTTTGAAGCACCCGACGGGTTTTCTTCACCCCACCCGCCTGTTTGGGTTTCTGAGGTTGAGTTAGTCCCCTCTTCTTTGAAGAGCCCCTGGTGTTGTGGGGTTGCTGTACTGAAGAAGACCCCGCGGTCGGGTTAGCAGCACGACGAGATTTCGCAGGTCGCGCCGTCTTCTCGATCGCGATTGCAGGGGCAGCCGCGTTCTCCTTGTCGACGTCGTCGTCCTTCGTCCAGTGTTTCTCCCCCTGCACTCCCGGCACCCCGTCCGCATGGCCACTCCCGTTGTTGTCTCGGGGAGGGACATCATCAGTAGTGTCCTCGACCTCCGAGACATCAGACGCCTGGGTTTCCGGCACAACCGAGGGTTGTCCGGCGCGTATCTCGTCTGCGTTGGAGTGTTCTTCCTCAGCCCAGTCGGAGGTAACAACGAAGACCTCGTGGCTGGCGGATGTCACAACGCGGACTGGGTGCAGTCGGCGGGAGCCCCTCGTAGCCTGAAAAGTCTTCTTCATCTGGACCCTGATGGGGCAGCCAAGATTAAAGTCTAAAAACACCGATTCTCTCGCGGTGTCGAAGTTGTGTCAACAGCTGCAGGTCGTATATGTGAAGTATTCAACACAACAACACAACGTGCCTCTCTTTCCGGCCTAAAGTGTCAGCAGGCCACAGACAGATAAATGTCGTTCGTGTGGCACTCCCACCACCACTCTGGCCTCGTACACATTTCCTGGCACACATACACAGCAGTGCACACCCCACAACCAGCAGTCCAATACACACACACACACACACACCTGATTCCTCATTCTTTTCGTTGTGATCTCAGCTCCTGCTGCCCTTTCTTCCACCATGGTGACGTCGATGTTGGCGATGTGTTCCGCGTGGTACTTTCCGCATAATCCAGCGTGTTGCTGTACGGCGGCCTGCCTCTCCGGCAGTTTGCCGATATCAGGGAGCGGACCCGGCGGAGTATCGTGGTTGCAGTACCGGGCACCAACAGCGACTGCGGCCGCCTGCATAGCTTCGCGGAAACGCTCAGGCGTTTGTGCTGCTATGAGCAGTAATTCTTCCCAAACTTTGAGCGGGTTGCCCTGTGGACAGAAACCCTCAGCATGGTGCTGCCAGAACGCGGCTACGTCGTCCATGTCGTCCATTATTGTCGACGTGAACTGCGTGTGTAGCGCTGGCCAGAGGGGCTCCGTGGGGTATCGACATCGCTATCGACGTTGAAGGCATGCGGGACTTTTTCAGGACACTCTCCCTCTCCATCTATCTCTCACCCTACTCTAATTTAGTATGGGTAGCGGTCCCGCGTGGCTTTTGTAAAAAATCCATACTGATTTCTTACACTGGGTGACACCTGTTCTGGCGTGCTTAGCAGAGGGCCATGCGCGATCTTTCGCCGCGCGCTTGTGCCTAAGCCCTTGCAAGGGATAGGACTACGTCCTCAATGGCGGCAAAGGCTCGTTTATGACCTGACGGCAGTGCTAGACGTTGCATGATGTATGTGCTGTTGATGTGCATTTTGTATCTTCAGCAACATGCGGTCAGCCGCGTTTGCCGTATCGCATCCGATCCTGCGTGTTTGTATTGTTGTTGTGTTGCCTACTGAAAGGCACCGGAAGGGCACTGATCAAACGAGTAGGACACTGTTAGATTGCTCATCGCTCGGGGTGAGGCATTCCTGGTACCAGAGAGAGAGAGAGAGAGAGAGAGAGAGAAGACAGCCATCGTGNGCGGCAGTGCTAGACGTTGCATGATGTATGTGCTCTTGATGTGCATTTTGTATCTTCAGCAACATGCGGTCAGCCGCGTTTGCCGTATCGCATCCGATCCTGCGTGTTTGTATTGTTGTTGTGTTGCCTACTGAAAGGCACCGGAAGGGCACTGATCAAACGNGGTGCTGTGTTGATGCAGCAGCTACGAACCAGCCTTTTTCTCTAGTTTGTGGGTGATTGCGATGTGTCCGATGCGAATACGTGCAGGCTAAGTCCATGGTGGGTGTGGGCCTTCCCCCTTGAGACCGTTCGGGGTGCACCTGATACTCTATCCCCGGCCCCGGCCACGGCACATGCCCTATTTGCTCGTGCTGGCTGCGCGCAACTCCGCGGGCGCTGCTCGCAACGTATGTGTGTGTGCAGCCAGTCAGACTTCTTCGTCCTTCATCCCGTTTCTATTTCCAAATTTCGGACTATTGGTGTGAACACCTTTTTGTGCCTCCCGGAAGAGCCACAGTAACTCCCGTCACAAAAGGGT